GATCGCTTGACGGAGAGTGAAACTCTGAAGCGCTCAGTCAGAGTGTTCTGTGAGTGAAAATATATCTGTGCTAATCATATACTCAGCCTCCAACTCACACACTGGCGAGTAAAATCTGAGAATTTATTAGCCATTGGCTAATATTAGACATCATTTAGTCGCCCAGAGTAAGATTTAGTCGCATATGCGAGTGATTTACTCGCAATGTAGAGGGTTGTATGTGTTTTTGTGCTGGTACATTTGGCTGATTTAGGGCTCTCATGACACTAAAACTGCCAGTACGTGTCAGTAAGTCCCTGTTTTAATAAATGATTCACTAAATCATTGCGTCAAAAGATTTGTTCAAAACGGCTGATTCAGTTAGAAACAAAGCAAGTGACCGCCTTTATGAATAGATCATTAATTAGTGGCTCACTCGATTCATTCAGAAACATATTAATTTAGAAATGAAACAGAGCAGTGTTGCTCTGCATGTTTTTAAGAACGTCAAAAGTCACGTTTGAACCATTTTTGAGCTTGTGCACAGCTTGTTGCAATATTAAGTTCTGATTTATCAATCGCTGTTATGTAGTTCGTAAATTATCATACAAAGATAATTTTAACATTTCATTTGCATGACGAGTTTTAAACAACATTATTAATCTAAAGGGGATGGTGGTTTTACAGAGGGGATGCTTTTTGTCATTTTTTTCAAAAAGGGGGATGCCATCACCCTGCACCGCCCCTCAATTCGAGCCCTGAGTATAGGTGTATGTAAAGTACGTTAAAAGTGTTTACATTCATTTTTGACCTACTGCCCAAATAGAGACTGACTCTACTGTATCAATTTGTATATGACTCACTGCATACCTCTTAGTTTCTTGCCCTTTTTTTTTTTTGCCTTTTTTGGCTGGGACTTCTTCCTATTCTTGGTCTCCGAGGACTCCGAATCGGGCTCAGACGATGAATCAGAGGATGAGGAGTCAAATATATCTGACTCCTGTTTCCTCTGTTCAGGTGCATGCCTTATAGGTGGGATATTACTTCTAACTGCAAGAGCTGTGAAAATCAAATGGTTAAGGAATTGTTTGACAATGTAATATTTGCCAATGGTGTTATGACAATCATAATAAGAGAAACGCAAGAACTACAACTGTCTTCAGCCACAGCCTGAGATGAAATCAACTGAAATAAAAGACATTAAATCTCCCAAGATTTCAGGAGAAGATGTTTAAACAAATCCACAAACAGCATCACCAGCTTCATGCATTACTAACCAGCTAGACTTTATTTCTGGAGTATCTAAAACAGAAGTTCTTTATTGAGAATTAAGGTTTACAGACATCAGTGAAAATGGCCAATATTACGCAATCATATTTTCTCTTGGTTTTTCTTGCCATAACAAATGTGTTTCACAAACACAGTTACAGCAACCAGAGAAAAACTAGTGTTAAAAAGTCAAGGGTCAAGAGCCCAACTACAGCAAACGCTTATCTCCACAACGGTGTCTTCAAATTTTATTCTTTTCAATAAACATTAACATCTAAACCTCTGTTAATTCTTAAGAATTTTTTTGATGAATGACAAACAAAGTCAAACTGGTTAGTAATGTGTGAAGCTGGTGATGCTGTTTGTGGATTTGTTTAATCATCTTCTCCTGAGATCTTGGGAGATTTAATGTCTTTTATTTCAGTTGATTTCATCTAATGCAGAGTTCACACTGCACGATTTTCAAACTCGTCGGATCGCCGTTGTTTTCACACTGCGTGACTATCTGGGGTAGCATTCAGTTGCTGCTGTGTTCACATTGCACGATGAATCGGCGACAGGGGGTTTCACACTGCATGACTTCACAATAGGAAGAATCGCCGACAGCTCTGTCTGGTCCGCAAATTTTAGAGTGGGACCATATATGCTCCGAGCAGTGTTAATTTAACACAGGATTTTACTGTGTACAAGCACATGAAGAGCAATACTGAGATAAAAATCACATACTTCAAAGTTCTGTAAAATGTAGTTGACTGAAATATGCTCACCAGTTTCTTTAGCCTTTTCTGCTGTAGAGGTCTGTGGATGATCCCGCAGAGGTGAAAGCACTGTAAAGTTTCAATGACAGATGAAACATGAAATTTAGCAACAGATGTCAGTGTTCATTTGATGTGTGTGATGCATGCTAATGTCTGATGGCTGGGCAGGTCACTCAACTAGACACACAAAACAGCTGTATTTTTACATTTATATTTAAATCTCCAACAATACTTAAGACTGAGGCACTGGAATTTTTGAATGAGATTCAAAACTAGCGACCTTTACTCCTGCTGTATGTTGGGGATAAACTGAAGATACAACCACCATCATGTAAGCTGTTTTTTTCCCACTACAAGCCAAATAATATTGAGGCAGGAACATTACATTCAGCTTTTACAATGAGGGCTGGAGCCCTTCATAGCCAAATTTCTATTCCTAAAAGGGACAATTTTTTATATCACTTCTTTGAATATATAATAGCAGGAGGCAATAAAGTAAAATTAACCTACCCTTCTCACTACTCTTGGTCCTTGAAGATATCTTTTGCTGATTTTGTGGAGGCTGAACCACAAACAGGCCTGGGTAAAAGATGAGAGAGGACAATATATTTACAAAGGATATGGCTTTTCCTTAAACACAATGTGTAGATGGCACTGTGACACAGGGATGCAAAGTCAGGGGTCAAAATTCATGCAATTACAACCATTTCTTTGTACATACATTATTATTTAATTATTATTTAATATTTGACATACCTGAACATGGCTGCATCACTGAAGCTTATCAATTTCAATAAAAAAAAATTACATGTAAAATTTAGAATGGTAATGGAAGTGATCTACTAGAATCTAAAAATACTAATGCACAGGCTACTTTAATATTGAGAAACCACCTATGACTGTTAAACTTGTAAGCTAATAAACATCACTTTCCACATCAGATAAGTAAATGAGTAGCCTAAGTCACACAATAGTAAATGTTCATTTCAACAGTTAGCCTAATGATAGTTGAAGCCCCTTTTTGGCAAGAAATGTCTTCATATTAGCACTAGTTTAGATTCCTATGCACAGAGGTATTACTGTTGTCACAATTTTTGTAATAATACATCGAAAGCCTATAAATGTTCATTGAGCCTTGGGATGAATGAATGAATCCTACCTTTTTCAGCCTTCTCGACTCTTGATTTCTGTGGTATATCTTGTGGAGACTGCTGCACGGACGGGTCTGGGTGGAAGATTAGAGAAGATAAAGAAAACAATATCAAAACAGCACTTTATAACATCACATAACGCTTTTTATTTTGTTGGTGAAGAGGAAAGAAATTGTTGGAGTATAACATGAACCTAAGATGTTTGAAGACACATTTTACTTGTCACTCAATTACAATCTACAATCTATAATCTATAATTACAATGTACTTACAATCTATTATAAGTAATTACAAATTATAGTCTTACAATTACTTACAATCTATTATAAGCAATTACGTTGCTGATATATTAATTTGTATTACATCCAACATGGTTACACTATCTACAGATTTCAACTTTTATATTACCATGGTATAGTGAACATGAATAAGAGTATTATTTAGATTTGCAGACTAATACTAATAGACTAATAGTTCACACTTCAAGATTTTAAGCCCGATTAAAATCTATGACTAATGATTAATGACTAATGCTGCCAGGCATCAGAAAGCTGGCAAATATTGTTATGGTGCATTATACATTAGGGGGAAAAGATATTAGCTTTTGCAGCCGATTATTACTCTGTCTGGGCATCAAGCAGCTAGCTAAGTTAGTAACGTAACTTACTAGCTAGCCAGCCGCCTGGCTATGAAATAGTGGACATAAATTTCAAACAAAACCAACTTAATGCATACATCAATATCCACACATTTGAGGTTGTCAGTCCACATACCAATGTAATTCGCCTTTCTTTTGCCTCTTCACATACCCACAGACTCCATGTTAACTGTAAACTAAGCTGCTATCACAATGTGTGTGCGTGCACGCTATATAAGGCGGTTACCTTGATGTGTGTTTTTGGACTTGGCGCGCTTCTCTTCTTCCTCCTCCTCCTGTTCCCTGCTGACTGGTTCAAGCCGTATGACAGTAGAAGTTTTTCTTGTTCGTAGCCTCATTTCCAAAAGGAACTCTGTAGGGGCCTGTATTTCCCGTGTATTGTCAAAGTGTGATATCTCTGTCAGAGTAAAGGGGGCTCCAAATAGTTTGATGTCATTAAGAAATTTTATAATGTTTTTGTTTGGAAGCATGATGCCTACCACACACGTAGTGGTGGGCAACAGTATAGAAACGATCGCTCTTCACCACATCCGGATGCAGAGGCGGACAGTAGTGAAGTATTTTTTACTCTGCTTTAAAAGTACTTTTCAAGTGTCTGTACTTTATCAGAGTGTTTTTCTTTAGAAAACTTTACCTCACAACATTCCAAAGCGTAATATTGTACTTCTTACTGCACTACGTTTCATATTAAATAGCATTTAATACTTAGTTTCATTAGAAATCTATTACTTTCTTACTTTTACTCAAGTAAAAGTAATTCAAAGATTTACTTGAGTACAAGAAAGTACATTTTTATTGTTCTTAAGTATTAAAGGTAAAACAAACAACAACTTTTATTTATGAAATGTAGTGCAGTACAAAGTATGACATTATGCTTTGGAATGTAGTGAAAGAATGTTTTCCAAAGAAAAACACTCTGATAAACTACAGATACTTTTTTAATTTACTTGAGTAAAGTAAAAATACTTCACTACTGTCCGCCTCTGTCCGGATGACACCAAATTATTTAGTTTTTCAACATTTTATGGGTGGCTGCAGTGCTTGACGAAGGAGCCTGTTAAGAACAATAGCTCACAAATATACACATTTTAAATCATACATGTAAGTTAAGTACACGATAATTATTCCCTGGAGGACTGTGTCCTATAGGGGATGGGGTGTGACGTCACGGCTCTAGCGCCGCGGTGGCTGATGGGAAAAATCGCCATATTGTGAGGCCACTTGTTGTGACGCGCCGATGAAGTGCCGGTTGCCGATCTGTTTCGCACATGCGTGTGCGTGCATGTTCGAGCGCGCAACTCCACAACCTCACAGATGCAAGCGGGAGTTGCCTTGGTAACTTAAAATTAAGAGACAATCTAACATAAAAGCATGCATTTAGGAAATAAAATATTGTCCTTAATGCAGGGAAAGCCAACCAAGAGGAGGACAGTCAAATTAATGAAATGGTTACAGAAAAAGAAGCTTTTGAAAAATAGCATAAGATGCAGGTTGTGTCAGAACAAGATGAAGTTAAAGAAGAAAGGCAACTCAACAGACGTCTACAGGTGGTAAGTTATGTGCATGGTTAAGTTGATTCTTGGATGCTATATTTAAATCACAATAAGATTATAAATTTATGAATAAGATTAGTAATTATGTACTTATCTAAAACTTATCTAATAGATTAATAAGATTAGATAAGTCTACAAGTTATGCTAAATAGCATGCTCTTAACTTTAGCTAAGACATTTCAAGCCTTCGCCCAACAGAAAGATCATACAGTATTTCATATTTGCTAAAACGCCTATTTTTTCTTCTTAGGCTTTGTAGGCTCACGCTGTAAATTATTATTATTATTATTATTATTATTATTTGTTTCCTCAAGAGTATGCCGACATAATAGCCATAGAGGCAAAAAAAACACCAAGACTGTCAGATCAGGATCAATCTTTGAGAAGTCAAGATGCAGCCTACTTTCATGGATGAATTTTTTTTACAGGTAATCCAGATCATCCATTCAGATAAGTAATGATATAGACACACGCATCTCTCTCTCTTTCTCTCTCTCTAGACATACATACACTGTAAAAAATTAATGTGAAATATACAGTAATTTACTGTATTTTTGCACAGGAAATTACTGTATACTAGTTCACAGTAGAATACAGTAGTTTCAGTCAAAATTGCAGTAATGTAAGAAGTACTGTGATTGTCACAGTAACCAGCAATGTCTTGTAGAAAATGACAGTAATTACCAATGTATTGTAGAAAACACAATAAGCAATTATGTTCTGTAGAAAATTACAGTAACCAACAATGTGCTGAAAAAAAAATCACAGTAACCTATTATATCCAGCTTAGTTTTCACGAGCGGGCGTGACTATTTGTAACTTGAATGTGTTTGGCTTCTGGTGTCTTTCACTTCCAGTTATTTTACCTGTACAAAAACAGCCCATTATACTGCTTCATACAAAATTTTAACCATTATCATATTATTTTAACTTCAGTATCATAATCATAAATACACCCCCCCAGAACACGATTTCACCGTACTGCCATACACTAGGGGTTTCTGAAATTCTTTAATAAAAATAACAAAATGACCAGAAGGTCATCAAGATTTTATTGTTTTCAACACATCCAGCAATAAGTGAAGAATGATTAATGAAGCTTGTTATAATGATGAGCAGTTGATGTGCACATCACAGAGGACCTCTCCTGGACTGACAACACCACAGCACTGACCAAGAAAGCACAGCAGCGTCTCTACTTCCTCCGCAAACTGAGAAGAGCCAGAGCCCCGGCCCCCATCATGGACAGCTTCATCCATCAGGCTGTCAGGAAGCTAAACTCCCTTCCTACCTTGCCCCCCCCTGCCCTCTTTGCTCCAGGCACCTCTGAACCCACTAACAAACTGTGACCTGCACCAGTCACCTTGTGCAGCATTGGTCTGCTTACTACCTCATTCAGCATTCAGCATTGAACTGACCTCATTCAACTACCTCTTCAGTCAGTTTAAATAAAGAACTGCTCTCTGAGCTTTTTGTCACTTTAATCAGACTGAATAAGCTCTTTTGCACTACAATCATTTTATCTGCACTGTTTGTTTACTTCACTGGTTTGCACTCTATCTGCCATGTGCCTTGTGCTGCTTTATTTAACTTTTTATTTTTTTACATGTCCTTATTGTATATTTGTATAGTTGTATTTTATATTTAATCTGTATCTATCTGTATTTTTATGCTCTACTGTTAGTGTTATCTGTATGCACCAAGGGTCTGAGAGTAACGCAATTTAAATTCTCTGTATGTATGTACTTTACATGTGGAAGAATTAACAATAAAGCAGACTTTGACTTTTTGACTTTGACTTAACTGTGACTGTTGATAAATTAATATTAATATTTAAATCATGCAACATGCATTATTTATTTTATTTTTATTTTTTATTTGGGCTGAATCTATATAACTAAACAGCAATGGAACCTGTCGATACTGATAGTCTAGTGGTTAGCGCACTGTGTCTCTGGCGACCTGTGTTCAGAAAAGTGTCCTTAAGGTCCTTTGCCGATCACATTCCCCACCAATCGTTACACTGTCCTGTGTAATAAGCACAAAAAGGCAAAAAAAAAGTTGAGTGAAAAATTAGTGAGTTTTACTTTACAGTTACATGGTTGCTACTGTAAATGAAAACAGCGAAAATATGGTTATTTCTTCTACAGTAAGTTACTTGTAACTAGCTGCCAGCAAATTACTGTAGTTCTTTTCTACAGTAAGTTACTTGTCACTTGCTGTCGGTTAATTACTGTGATTTTTATACAGTAAGTTACTTGTCACTTGCTGCCAGTTAATTACTGTGAATTTCACAGTCAGTTTCTTACAGTGTAGGCACATAGATTTGGAAGGCTTTGGTTCTTTAACCCACATGTCTATGCTTTCTATGCTGCTTGGTAAATATTTAATATTCAAGTAAATTTGCTTCTTTGTCAGGTTTTCTCAAGGCTTGCGAATGAGGCAGGTTGATATGAAGACAAATGGCATAGCTAAAATCTCAGCAACACTCTCAAAGATGTCATCCTGTGTAAGAAGAGTGTGCCGACATGCAATGAGGCAATATGAAAACAAAGCAGGACAACGCCTTGGAGGTGAAATGGAGTTTGTTGTCATAGATGAGAGCAACTTCCGCCATAAACGAAAGGTATTCTGTAAGAATACTTCTTTTTATTTATTATACAATTTAAAAAAAAAACTTGCTCTTTTCTTTATCTACTCTATCTGTTTTCTTTTTATTTATTATATAACAACAATATATATATTTATTATATAACAATAAAAACCTTGTTACGTGTACTGCGTTAAGCTAACTGAGACTTGTTATAGCACTTGTATATCAATGCCATTTTGTTGATTTTGATTGCTTCTATTGTCCTCATTTGTAAGTCGCTTTGGATAAAAGTGTCTGCTAAATGACTAAATGTAATGTAAACTTAAATGTAAATGTATGGATTAAGTTTAAACTATCTTGCCTTGTTTGTGCTGCATTCTGCTACTAGAATGTGTAACAATATCAGCCCCAGCTTCCTATTTGCCAACTAAATTGCAAATAGTATGCTGGTCAGACCTGGGGCCACATTTTTTGTGTTATTTATGTTACTTATGTTTTAAATTAAGAATTTAAAAATCAAATATATAAAATGTTACTGTGCTTGTGACTGGCTGTACATGACGCATTGAGCCAATATGAATAGAATGAATAGAAATAGAAATGAAAATAGGGCCCTTAGGGTCAGGCTATATGACTAATATGACAATTCACAATGGTGAATTGAAGTGTCAGTTGTTATGAAAATATGTTGTTTTTTACAGTATGCTCGTGGGAGAATATCCAGCACCTGGAGACGCAAAACGTGGGTTTTGGGGATGCTTGGAGTAAAAGAAAAGCATCGAAGACCTATTCTGAGGCTGGTCAAGAAGAGGTCCCGCCACCATCTGATTCCCTTAGTGGTGAAGCATGTGAGGCCTGGGACTTTAATGCTTAGTGATGAGTGGAGAGCATATAGGGGTGCTCTCACCAACTTGGGCTACAGGCATTTCACCGTGAATCATTCAAGGTGGTTTGTTGATCCTGTTAGTGGAGCTCACACTCAGCACTTGGAGAGGGCATGGTTAACATACAAATCGATAATTTGGCGATTGAGGGGAAACCGAACTGCCAAGCTTTTGAAAGAGCATCTTGCAGTTATAGAATGGACCTACTGGCTTGGAAACAAGCATAAGGAAGGATTACTTGGTCATTTATTAAAGGATATTCGGCACCAGTTTCCCTGTTAGCTAATAATTGTAAGTCATTTGTAGGGTATAGAGTGTAGAAACCGGAATTATATGTTAGTTGCAGGGTTTTTTGTGAGCAGGAGCCTAAAGCTTCAGCTATCTTAAAGAAAAAAGATGATGGATCCTTACTGGATATTTACAAGAACTAAGCAAGTTTGTATATGTTCTGTATGCCATGTGTTTGTGCCATTTATTTATTTTATTTTTGTTCAGCATTAAATATTTCATGAGGAGTCCACATGAGTAGCTTGTTACATTAAAAATGATGTTGATTTTCCTAAAATGTTTTTTTTTTTTTATTACCATTATAGTGAGTAGCGTTCCGTTTGGTTGGGCACTTGGAACTTCGTTTATATTGCTTTAATTTTCTTCCTCTTATTGCAGCAATGCATCATGAAGTCAGAGTTATTTGACTTCAGAAAAAGGAAAAAAATAAATAGGTTGCTTTTAGTGAGTGACGTATCTTTTAATTCAAGCATTAGTGTGTTTTCTTTTTGTGTGTTTTTTTTTTAATTTTTCAAATTTAATTTTTCATAAATACCTTGAGATGCTTTAAATGGGGTTTATATACTCTTTAAATAGTGTGTGGTAATATGCTAATGTCACACACAGACTTAAACATTCAGCACGTGAATCACAACAATGGTAACAATTCAAGTTAATTTATTTTCATTAATTGTAACAATAACCATTTTATTTGCTCTTTTTGTTGTGCTAGCCGACACACACAGAGAACACTTTTCTTCTGTTCAAGGTGGCCTAGCTCTGGCGAGAATCTTACAGCATTTAGCATGGTTCATTACACACACACTATGCCTGTCTCTTTTAAGAGAGTAAAAATACTGAATAACGCAGGATTATTTAATATATTTTATGCAAATACCAGTTAAATTGCTCAGTAAGCAAGTTGCAAACAATATCATAAAACAGCAGAACACATAAATGTCACAGTTGTCCCAATCACTGTCGCTCACGTAGATGGGAGGTCACCCTGACCTAATCATGGCACTGTAACCCTATGACCAGAATAGACTTCAGCATGGAACTAAGTCAATCAACAAATAATCTAGCAGGTTAAAATACTGATCAATAACTTGAAAAAATAATGAAATAATATTATTGTGAAGGAGATCTGCATCCACTCCTTCAACATGAATTCATGATGATTCATCTACCAAAAGTATAGATTTATCCACAGTGGATAGTAAAGGCCTTTTTTTTGTGAACAAAGAAAACATCATGATGAATTCATGCATGAATTCATGGTAATTCATGTACCCTTACCGTAAAGTGTTACCAGAAAAATGAATGATTTCCTGAATAAATATATGTTTGGATTTTCTTGTCCATGTTGATGAGTGCTGTACTTCTTCTGAAGCATTAGGGAGTATTTGTGGTCGTTCTGCAGGTTGATGTGTTTGTTCACATTGTGCTTGAATTGAGATTTATAAAGATTAATGCATTTAGGAAAATTTTTGTGCGTATGGATGGTTTTATAAATTGTTTGTAGGGACATTTCAGAAATTCTACACAAGTCTAAAGCTTAAACTTTCATGTTCATATTCGTCATTTCACAATTATGCCATCATTAACACACCGTTTATCAGTATTTAAAAGGACCAAGTCACCACTTTAGTTAAGGGGCCACACACATGATGAAATCATGAGAAGCTAATGCTTAGTTAATGATGACTACTGTATTTGGATGTTAACAGAATCTGAAAGATTTCCTCAGATCACTATTGGTTCTCTGTGTGTTGACTCTGTGTAGTTTGACTGTATCATGAAGCTCCTGTGAGGACGCTGAACATCTGCTGATGGAGCTGCTCTATTCTGAGAGGAACAGAATCACTCAAATATGAGTTTGACTGTTTGACTCTTTATTCTCTGAGATGAGTCAGTAGAGTTGGACTAATGGAGAGATGAGGTTTGTTCATATTCATCAGTTCACACTGAGACTCTTCCAATTAGAACAATTGTTCAGCCTGATGCCACAGAAAAATCCACAAAGAGCCTCTTACTCCATCATTGTACTGGTACATCGAGAAACCGCCAATGGTGCTACATGGAACCTTTTCAGTCCTACATTGAAACATGTTGTGTTAAATAGACATTATGTGAAGCATCTGTCTCCACATGGTTTGTGTGCTTGAGTTAAAAAATACCACATACAAGAAGGAAACATTATTTGAGTGGTGTCACCCTCTTGTAATATGGTTTTAATGTCAAATGACTATGATGTAGTAATCAAATTGTAATCTTATCGTGGCATGTTTTGACTTATTGGCAAATGTCAAATCATATCATAATAACGAGAATCAATGTTATATTGTATCATGATGAAACTGCTGTTTGTTACATACTGTATCTCTACAAGTGTGCCATACTGTGGTCCATACTTTCCCAGCACTGATTTGAAGACCCTATAATGACACATCAAGAACTTTTTCAATCTCCAAAGAACCAAAAGTAAGTAAATAATAAATAAAGTAAATGTGTTTAATCACATCCTCTCATCAGCAGCTGCAGTGTCTCTCAGCTGTATCAGTGCAGTCACTGTGACTCTGACTGACGGAGGTTTTTGTACGACTCTTTATCACTGTGTGAACACACCACCACTATGATAACTCTGACAGTAATAATCTCCTGTATCTTCAGTCTGGACTCCACTGATGGTCAGAGTGAAATCACTATGAAAGAGCAAGTTAACCAAAATCATGCTTGTACACGCATACAAACTCCGGCTCACGGGGCTTTAGACGTCATGTTTTGCAAAGTCTTTCAGGAGACAAGATGTTTGTCTGGCGAGCCGGCCAGGAGTTATTTATGTAGCGTACAGTGGATCATTTCCATCCGGGCAAAGCCGAAGAATTTCAGCAGATAATCCACAATTATATACAACCTCAGAGCTCTTGTCAGAGCCAAGGCCGGCGTGTCGAGATAAATCAGGGAGAACTGCAGAATGTGTCATATATATATATATATACAGCTAGTGCTGCTAATATATATATATACTGTATATCAGTGGGAGGCCGTGCATTTTACACCTAGGCCTTCAGTGGCGTCCTACGTGAATTAATCCATCTCTTCATACCATCATAATGATGCCACGGCTATAGAAACCATAAATATTACACAGTAATGGAGT